TTTTTTTTTATTTTTTTTAGCCGCGCTGTGGAACTGCAATTGCTGGTGGAATGCCGCCAATATTTACACTTTCGCCGTGCAACCCGGAGTAAGTATACAATACATTATTAATATTATATGATATCCCATATTATGTGTATGATGCATATGTGATGATTATTGATTTGTGGTGTATGACGGAACGTTTAAATTGTTTTTCAAATCAATATATTCGATAATAGATCGTGGGGCGAAACAATCGCGTGCGACTATATATATAATATGCAAATACACCCCGCCTGAGTGTGTAATAAGATTGTATACCCGAAATCTGAATAATTACATATCATTGTACATATAGGTAGGTAGGTAGGTTATCTATTTAGGTAGTGATTATTTTTCGCCCGACGCCCAAACAGCAGTTCTATATAGGCATCTATTCCAGCATGTGTGATTGTTTTGACTAAAATTACATAACTCGGACACGCTCGAAGAACCGTGCAGGTATTATAGTATAGTATAAGTTAGGTGTACCAGGAGGTACCAGCTATTATACCCATAAGTCATAACACTCATAACACATATAATAAAATTATTATATTATGTGCTCACATAACGAACGCGTAAAAAATATCGAGGTGATTGTTGCCGGTGTTTAAGACGACGAATATGTACACTATATATACAACGAACGTCAGTAATTATGTGTTCATAATTTATTATAATAATATATACTGGGTGTTTCTTTTAACTGTATAAGCACTCATTTCCTCGAAAAGTATTCAAGTTTTTTTGAATATTAYTATTTTATTGAAATAAGTCCAGTTTCAAAATATTTTTCTGAARATTTCGTAACCATTAGTTGAGTAGGTACTCAAGTAGTAGATCAACATTTTTCGARCTACTATAATGGAATTGGGAATAATCCAGTACTTACAATACAGCACCTAAGTATTTTATAGTATAGCACAGTATATTCGGAGCAGTCAGTATATAGAATAGAACAATATAGTGCAAAGTACAATTCCATAAATACCTACACAGGCCACTTGACTTCGCTCATCTAAACTCTTAGATAATAACAAAAATAATGCAAAAAAATATTMTAAAAAAACTCATATTTATTATTTTGAGATTCAAGTGTTAACTTTTTAAATACTCATCCTGTATATTATTGTTCATAATATGCGTACCTATGAGTTATAAATGCAAAAAATAAAAGTATGGAAACTACGACTRTATAGGTAAAAAGGTACTATACGYACACACTACACGGGACAATAATAATATGCGTACCTATACTACTGATGTTGATGTAACTAATTAGATCGAAAATTAATTATCAATTGCAAATCTAATTTTTAAACGCACTTTAGCCGAAACGGTCTGGTTGTTTTCCACGTTTTAATTTTGAAATAATCTCATAAACATTTAAAATAGATAAATGTGTATATATTATATGACTAATAGGATTAACTAGACCTCGTGGAGAAAGTATCTGAAAATTAGTATTACTGTGTGTGTGTTTAAAAAAAAAAAAAATTACAATATGAGATATCCTTGGCAATAGCGAATGACTTTTAAATTATAATGCTGATGTATTCATTACAAATTCAGTTCGCTTAGTATATTGATTTGCAGTATACGTACATTTATATKATAAGTTCACGATAAAAATAACTATAATATTATAGATACGTATAGGACTCGGTTTCATAACTGATTATAATATGATGTGTGTAGTTATTTGTATTTGTATACACTTCGTTACCTATATTTTCGCCTATTAAATACCAGTGTATTTGTTTTGAATATTTTGTTCACATCCAMGCGTCACCATGACGTATATAGGTTCCTACTATGAAAACAATTTATTGAATATTAATTATATTATTTCATATAGGTGCCGATTGGTTCGATTATTAATAAATAATAATTGTGGTCACTTGAAAGATAAGTGAACAAGAAGTAAATAATTAATGAAACATTTACTGTGTAATACTATTTAATAATAC